CGAGTCGCCCCGAGCGCAAGACCCCTGAGACGGCTGCTGATTGGTTGACGACGGCGCAGGTGGTGGGCGCGCGGGAGGCAGAGCGGTTTCTCTTCTCTTCCCTACAACGATTCTACCCCTCCCGCGGCCGTTATTTCGCGCGTACGCGCACGATACCGCTGTCGTCGTGGAGCGGGAGAATAGGGGAGCGCGCGCCGGGGTACGGGTGGGGCGGGGCTAACCCCTAAGCGCGCGCCCGCCTAACGGTCGTCGGTCCTGGGCTCTGGCTGCGGCTTTTTGTTTCCTCTCGGCCACCGTCCTTCCCCTCCCCACTCCAGAGGTTTATTTACAATCCTGCGCTGGCCCATGGCCTCCCCAAGATGGCGCCCGAAGGAGTCTATCGGCAGATCTCGTGGCCGGCCCCAAGAGCAACCTCTGGCCCCGGCCCCGCCCCGCCGTTCCAAAAATCAGGCTGCAGCACAGGAGTAAACTGTATTTACACAACACGCACTTATACAAGGATTAAAAAGATAGCAAGGAGACAACAGTCAGGAGGGGCTGGAGCGCGGGCCCGCGGCGAGGTCCAGGATGTTGGCCTGCAACACAGGAGGGAAGGGGGAGAGCGACGTTAGAGCTGCGGGCAGGGCACAACTCAGGGAGGCAGGGGCAGAGCCGCCACCTTACCTTCAGGAATGACTCCATCTGTTTCTTGGACATACCCTCCACCCGTTCCAGATCCTCCACCTGGCAGGACAGCAGCAATGGGGAAGGGGCCTAGGCGGCCAGGTCCACCTCACCCCACCCCAGGGCCGCCTTCCCTGGGCTGGTACCTGGCTGAAGGGGCCATGGAGTTCCCTCCAGCCCACAATGAGCTGGGCCTTCTTCTGGCCGATGCGCTGGAGGCTGCGCAGATCCCGAGCTGAACCTTCGTTCAACAGATCCAATATTTTTTGGCGCCCATGGGCCAGTAGCTCCTGGCTGATCTGCAGCTCCCAGCAGTCCTCAGCCTTCTCCTCAGGCTCTGAGGCATCCAGGGACTCCAGCTATGAGGCAAGGGGAGGTGAGTGACAGAAACGACAGCAAAGCGCTTTGGATTCCTCTGCCAAGACTAGGATCCCAGCAGCAGCTGCGTTCCTGCTCTCTCCAGCCCGTCAGGTGTCCAGAAATCCTGCCCTCTGGTCATTCTCTAGGCTAATTCTCATTTTATGTGACTCGTGAAAGTGCAATATTAGTACCTAGTGGTAATATCAGTACTCTTCCCATAGAGTTACTGTGAAGATCAAATGAGTTAATGAAGGTAAAGCACAAAGGAAGCTCTTAAATTTGGTCAGTCTCTAATAAGAATAAGCTCTCCTTCACTGCTGGGAAAAATCCATGGGAGAACATAATAAATGACCCCGCCCCCATGTCATCTCAGTTTTGGGATAGTCCTAGTGGTGTTTCATTTTGGGCGCCCTGGTGTGTGTGCCTGCATGTGTGTTTCATTCTTGAATGCTTAGGTCATACTTCCCGCAGGGAACTCTCAAGTTTGTAGAGGGGAGGAGTCAGGCTGCATATTGCACCTAGTAAGGAGCTACTGAGGGTGAGAGCCATTAGGAAGAAAGGAAAGTAACAGGTGGTGGGTACTCACTCTGCTAGGTACATATATATCGCTGCATATCACCCTAAATGCCCTGCGAGGCTCCATCACTGCACTCAGAGAGTAAGAAATTTGGAACACATATAAATAGCTGGTTTCAGCCAGGTCCTGTAACTCCAATGCCAATGCTCTTCCCCCTAGACTCACTCCCCTGATTTCGCCAAGCCTCTCAATATAGTCCAAGCTTCCAGCGACTCTCACCTTTCTCTTCCGACCCTTCTTCTTCAGGATATGGATCTCGGCATTTGGCAATGCTGCCTGTTCCTGAACTGAAAGCAGGAATTGAGAACTGGATTCAGGGCAGAGGCCACTTTGCACCCTCCCTGGTAGCCACTTGGTTCTCCCAATTCTGATTCCCCAGCTCCCCTGCAACCTGAGTTAACTGTCATTTCTATATGACTTTTCTTATAAACCTGTATTTGAAAATAATCTCAGTTGAAAACAAAAAAACAAACAAACAAGAATCTCAGTTGGTCTTGCATTATAATCAATGTCTACCCCATTGTAGGAAACACCTGAGGGCAGAGCACTCATCCCTGCTTCAGATCCTCTTCACCCTTCCCTAGGGTTGGCATATGGTGGGAGGACATAAGGCACGTGAGTAGCTTCTTGTAACGCCTCCTCCCTTATGGGATTCTGTTATCTGAGCCCTCCTGGTCTCTGGAGCCAAACTTACTCAGTTGTAGGGGCATCACCACAGCCTTTTTCAGGGGCTTTGCCACTGTGACTGTGCGACGGGCAAGGGGTCTGAGCACCGTGGGAGCGCAGTTCTCCTTCTCCTTTGGGTCTGCGACCTCCTGGGCCAGCACCTTGGCCTCCAGTTCTTTTTGCTTCATCTTAAGCCTCTGTTGGAAAAGATCAGGGAGAGGATGTGACCCAGACCCAATTCCAGGGAAGCTTGAAGTGTAGTGAATTAGGAGGGTGAGTATGCACGGATGCAAGGCCCTGGAGGGCAGACCTAGGACCAATTGGGAGAAGCTACCAGGAGACATGTGGAGCCCAATATAATAAAAGGCTTTCTAATGACCAAGGGGATGCCTAGAGATAGTACAAGGCTCTGGAAATATTGAAGGGAAACACGGTTCAAGCAGAGAGTAGTTAATGTGAGCTGGGTTTTAGGAAATGCAGTGTCTAACTTGTTCCTTTTTTTTTTTTTTTTTTTTTTCCCTTTTTGTCTTTTTTTCATGACTGGTAACGGGATCACAACCCTCGGTGTTGCGCCCGTACCGCGACCGGCAACGGGATCGCGACCGGCAACGGGATCGCAACCCTCAGTGTCGCGCCCGCACCGCGCTCAACCAGTGAGCAGACCGGTCTCTATATGGGATCCGAACCCTCGGCGGGAGCACCTCCGCGCTCCCAAGCACCACACTCTACCGAGTGCGCCACCGGGCCAGCCCTAACTTGTTCCTTTTACTTGGAATTTTTCCCTCTCACCTCCTCATATCTAATTCTAATTATTTTCCTAAGTTCAGCCACGTTAAGATATTCAAACAGAAGACATTCATTGGCAAGCTTCCAGTGTTGGGTGAAAACTAGATTCTAGTCCAACCTTTGAATGTCTTTCCCTGTCTGAAGATAGTAGGACTGCTTCTTGAGGTCAGCAGGAATCCCAGCTCCCACCTCCCACAACACTTACCTCAATCTCCAGGTCCTTCTCCTCCACTGTCTTCATGAGCACCATCCGCTCTCGCCTTGGGGTACTCAGCAGAGGGGCCCCCTGGCTCCCCTGGGAGCCCAGCAGACGATCCAAGCTCAGCAGACGCTCCAGCATGGCTG